CTAAGGCTGATTGCTGAGGCCCGGGCTGGTTGTATGCGCATCTGCCTTTGACGGCTAGTGCGACTGGTTGTGGCCTGTAGTTGGATGAAGCATGGCTATTCACGCTGAAGCAATTGCTCCCATTCCCAATTAGTTTTCAAGCATGAGTCAAAGTGCTGGCTTTAACTTATGCCCTAAATACTGGAAGCCTGCTTATTTTAAGAGCTGTTTGCTCACATGACCTTACCTGAGAGCTCAGGTCTTCTGAGGCCCTTCTGTCTCCCTAGGAGTCAAGGCCTTTTCAGCTGTGGTCCTCCTGTCTTTGGAATTCCTTCTGCAAAGCAGCTTGCTTAGCACCATTTTGGCTCTGTGTGCCAAATGAAAACCCTCCCAATAAAAACCCTTTGATTTGCACAGGTCTTTTAAATCTGATCACTTTTAATGCTGGAATTGTATTTGCATGCCCATTTTATTTAATTCTGCCTAAAGCCTCTTTGGGTATCTGAGTGCAGAAGAAAACAAAGATTCTGCAGTATGCATAGTTTTGCAGTGTTCCCACTCCTCAAAAGCTGCTGAGATGCAAGAGGAGGAGCCTGGAAGCCAACAGGTATGACTCCCCAGAGGTGCTACAAATAGCAAAAGTGGCCTAGCCTAAGAAGAAATAGCTCATCCCCTTCTGAGGTTAGATTCCTGAAGCAGGAACTACTGCCCTCCCCAAAAGTTTGGGTCAGACCGTGAGGGCTGGGGCCCTCTGTTCGTGTGCCAGCATGCTCTGAGCCAGCCCTGCAAGTGCTTTTGTTCAGGCCCCCAGAACTGCCTAAAACCAGCTCTGCATTTCCAGAACTGGACGCAGCCGTCCCAGTTCTAATCGAGCGCTTGGCAGATGAGGGACTGCCATGCTTATGCTGAGAGCAGGAGCGATGGAGGTCTGCCGATGAGGGACTGCCATGCTTTGCGCTGGTGTTCCCTGCAGGTGAAAAGGTGCTTGTTCTGTTTGGCCTTCAATCCCACCATGGCTGGCCAGCATGGCCAGAAGTCAGCAGGGGCACAGATTAGGGAATGTTGTCCTAACCAAACAGCTGCTGATCCTGGCTTGCAGTACTTCTGATCAGCTCAATCTGATTATACTTATGTTCATCTATGTTTGTTTCACTCCCGTGTAACTTCCAGGGCCAAACCAGAGCAACCCACGCTGTGCTGAGCTGTCTTTCAAGATTTAGACGTGTCAAGCAGGCACTTGCTGCCTGCTGCTCAATTTCTGGATGCAAGGATGGACAAGTGGGAACTCTCTCCATCCAACAGGCAGCAACATTCGCTGGCCACCTGTCAGCATCCAAGCTCAGTTCAAGGTGCTGGCCCTTCTGCTCTATTTTGCATGGCCCAGAGAACACCTCTGTGTTTCCACTCTTCCACTGGGCTCTGTGGGCTGGGCCCTGCTTTGCCTTCCTGACCTTCACTATGGAAGAGCATTTGCTAGGAGGAGCATAACTTTTACTGCAATTGCTGCCAAGCTGTGGATAGCTGAGAAAGAGGTTCGCTTCTCACGTCCTTGCCTGGAGGTGTGAGGGCCACAAAACCCATCCTCCTCATGGCTGTGGATGACTGATTGGCTGCTTGATTACGTTCTCCTTGCTCCATTATAGTTACCATTGTTGTTGTGTGAGAGGTGTTTCCAGGTGTAGACTTGCTGGAGGAGATGTAAGCAAGGCCATCAGGTCTCCTGCCATTGTTTTCAATGAATGGCGACTGATCACAACTTGGAACCTGGCATGCTGAAAGGAGGATGCAGTGACCAGGCACAAAGAAGGGGCAATGTTGTTGGAGAGAAAGATTTGTATTCTGTGGGGCTGAACCAGAATAGTGCCCATGGGGATTCACTCTGGACTCCACTGCTCATTAGGGTCCCAAGAGAACAGGAATGGCAAGCACCCCGCTTTCCCCCCACACCCACTCCAATCACCCACCCAACTTGCAGAGAAGCCAGTTCAATGTCACAGGCACGGAGACCCCTTCCTCCTGGTTTATTGTGAGCTCAGCTGCTGAACGGTTTTGGTAACATTCGAGAGAGAACATTGCAACAGCTGATAACAACACTGCAAGGAAAAAATGACAACTCTACAATTTCCAATGTGTCTATATTACACCATAAATACACAGACAGGAGAAATGGGGGTGGTGGATCTGCACTCCAGAGCTCTCGAGGGGAGAATGCAGCAAGAGAGTTTCCCAGAGACCTTGTTGCTCCCCAGGGATGCTCTCAAACACAGGACCCCCGATAGGAGTCTGGGGATGGGTGGGAAATCAAGGGCTGGGAGGGAAAGGGGGTATTGTTTGTAAGATTCTGTTTTTTCTCTTTAGAATAATTTACAATCTGCTTATTCACAATTATGTACAGTCCAAACCCGACCCAACAAACTCATGGAACACAACCGCATACAAAAATAAAAGCTATACAGAAATCAGAAAGAAAGAGATCCTCTTTCTTAACTTTCCCCCCCTCCCTGCCCCCCTCCCCACTTTTTTCAATTGAGGCTTCAAGAAAGAAAAGAGAAAAGTACAAAGAAAATGGCTACAGTACTGTGTTCAGAAATGGCCATGCTATTCTCCTTGGTCTGGAAAGGAGATGCTCTGCACCCGCTTCCAAACGAAGACTGGCAATGCAGGGCAGCCGCCACTGGCCGGAAAGCCTTCACAGGATGGCGGCCTCACAGGCAGCCTTCCGACGGCAAGACGTGGCTGGCCACGGCTACAGGGGCTGCCAGGTTTTCGTGCCGCCATGGACTTTCAGTGGCTGCTCAGGTAAAACCAAGGCAGCTGTTCCCCCCTTCATCCAGGCAGTCTCTCCCCTCACCCCCAGCCATGCTGGGGCTGGAAAAGCAGCCAGAAGGCTGTGCACTGCCCCTCTCCCTGGGGCCCACATGCTTGGAGTGCTAGCCAAGCATCCGCCGGTGGAACGTGGGTGGTGGGGATGGCTGAAATGAAAACTTTGCAAAGGGAGACTTGGCTTTGGTTCAAGAGCTCGGCGCTTGGAGGGGGATGGGGTGGGAAACGGGCCTGATTATTGCTTTGCCTCTTGCCTGCAGGGGAGGGACTTGCTGGCCCTGTGAAACAGGGTGGGTCCTGTTCTCTCATGTCCACCTTTCAGCTGCACATGCTCCCCCCACCCCCTCCACTGGCTTGCTCCAAACTTGCTTGCTTCACAGTTTCTCCACTCCACATAGCTAGGCTGCGGGGGACAGGGCCTTTAGCCAGGGGATGGAGGGGTGATAGGTCTGCAGGTGGGTAAAGGGACAACAGAGGGGGGCTGGGCACTGTCAGAGAAGATTCCTCAGCACTGGTGGCCCACAGAAAGAAGGGAGGCCCCTGGAAGGGAGGAGGAGGACCCGCCTGGGTGGAGAAGGCAGTTTTGGACAGCAAGAACTTTCCTGTCTCAGTGCCAGGACGACAATGATGTGGGAAGTTAGCCACCCGGGCTCTGCTGGCTGGTTAAGGCAAAGAGCAGCAGCAGCAGCAGCAGCCACCGAGGTCTCCTCTGGGTTTCCACCTTGCAAGGCACACTTGCAGAAGGGCCAAACTTCTCTCCCCTGCCCACGCTGATTCCTGGGGTAGGGATTGGGCAGCAGGCCCTCCTTTTCTGGGTGGGGGGATGTCCACTGCACACTGCTCCAGCTGGTAGCCCTCCGCCCAAAAAGCAAGCGGGAGAGAACAGCATTCAGCACAGGGACCTGTATGGCAACACCCAGCACTCACCTTCCCAGCCCCACAGAGGCAAAGTCACAAGCGAGATTGCCTCTGCCTGGGCCAGCTGGGTTCAAGTGGCAAACTGGCTTCCATATCTGACTCCAAGGCCAGCCAATGACTCCTTCCATTTTATTACTTTGACCTCCTAGCTTTGGAGCTTCTCTGAAAGCAGATCCAGGCTCTTAAAATAGCCCCGGCTTGTGTCACAACAGCGGGGGATTTATGTGGGGCTACTACTGTGTGCTCTACTCCCGCTGATAATTTCTAGGGAGCAGACAGAGTCTGGGTGGATGGGACCAAGAGCCTCTGTGCCTTGAACGAACTTCAAAGCCCCCCTCCTACCTCCAGATCAGTGTCACAAGTCAAACTATGTGCTCCAACACTGCAGTACACAGAAAGAAGGGCTCGGGGTCTGTTTTTACAGACCTTGCTTGCTTCGGAGCCCTGGGAAAAAATCTGGTGCCCAGAGGCATGTGCGGACTGTGTATATGCACATGTGTGTGGGAGGGAGAGTGGGAGGGAGGGAGAGCAAGCGTGTGTGTATGTGAATACACGTGTCTTTCCTAGTTTACAAACCTGTGAACAACAAGAGGAACTTACGGGGTGCTGCAGTTCAGAGATTCATCAACTAGCAAACAACATGCATCAAAAACATGAACCAAATTAGTGCTAAAATAAGCATTGCTTTTACCTCCTCTTGAGTTGGGAAGACTGCAAACCTATCCCAATGCTCTCCCCTCCTCCTGTTTGCCCATCCTGTCCCCACTGCAGAGAGGAATATACTCACCCGAGGTCCCCCAGTGAAGCTGTCTGAGCAAGTTGGCCAGGTATAATCATTCCACTCTGGCCGTATTGCCTTTTTGTGTGTGCAAAATGATGAATGGAGGAAGACTTGGCTATTTGGAAATGCAGATAAAATGTTTTGCTTACTTGATTTCTTGTTCCCTTTTTTGTTTTGTTTTCTTTAAAAATAATGTCTTCTCCCATTTGCTTCTGGGAGTGTTTTATGGCATCACAAGCAAAAACAAAACAAAACAAAAGCCAACCTCTCCTCACATAATTCCCCACTTGCAAGCTATGTTAAAAAACAACAACGCTACTTCAAAAATATCCAGAACGAAAAGGCAAAGTCCTTTCTCCTCATCAGACCGTAATAAAATCAAATCTATATAAATGCACAAAAATAAATTAGCACTAGTTTAAAAAAAATAACTTACAAAAATCAACATGATTTAAACTCCCCACCATTCTGCCCCCCCCCCCCGCCCTTTCAAACACCCTGTTTTCTAGCTAGGAGGGTTATGCTGTGATGGGCAGAGGAACAAAGCAAAGATGGGCAACCTGTGGACCTCCAGAATGATACTGAACTATAGCTCCCATCAACCCCAGCTATATTCAGGGATGATGGGGGTTGTAGTCCGACACTCAGAAGGCCAGAGATTCCCCATCCTTAGAATAAAGGCACTGGCTAACGAGCCAATCAGGGATGGCATGACAAGCGAGAGAGATGGGTCCACAGGGGGTGTAAATGGTTGCTGACTTTTGGTGCCGAGGTGCCACAGTGACTCTGCTTAGCCTGACGACAAATGGCTTAAGATGCAGTTTGAAAAAACAAGAGTTCCCACCTACTTTGCCACGGCTGCTGCACGCCTCGCACTGTCAGCACCCTCCTCCTGGTCCTGGTTGCACCAGTCTTTCTGTTTACTCTTTTTTTAATAAAAGTTAGCAAAATCAAATGAGAAGAAACCAAACCAAACCAAACCGAAAAACAAGCACCCAGCGACAATGAAACCGCAAATTCAAGGGAAGGTTACTCCTGGAGTGCTTGGGCCGGTCGCTGCAGCAGCAGGCGGCTGCCTCCTGCCTGGGCCAACCTTGTTCTACAGTTGCTGTGTGTACTCCCTGCCCCACCCACCCTTGCCACTTTTTGTTGCTGATTTTCTTTTTATACAAAATACAATAAAAATAAAAAATGAGTTTTTTCTCGTTTTTTTATCCCCACCCCTCCCTCGTGAAAACTTCGGTGTGTGTGTGTGTTGGTGTGTGTGTGTGGTTTTGCTTTTGTCAGCTGTCCCTTCCCCACAGTCACAACGTGTCGGGAGATGTGCCATTCAGTGTTTCGTCCGTTAGCCCATCCTGCCCTTCCAGGGACTCGTGTTGGTGCTCCTCTGCGGCTGTGTAGTAGCTGTGGTCCTCCTCGCCAGGGCTGCTGTGGTCCTTGTCGGATTGCTCCGAGTCCTCCCCTTCCTCCTCCAAGGTCAGTTCGAACTGGAATTTCTCTAGGCAGGCCTCCTCGTCTTTTTCTGCATCGTCGGGAGGCGGGGAGGGGCTCTGGGGGATCATGCTGTGGTACCAGTCCCTGTTGTCCTCGAGGGTGTCCAGGATGTCTTGTGCGTCAGGATGGACCAAGTCTGCCCAGGTCTCCCACAGGGGGTGCACGATGTAGTCTATGAAACCCACCTGAAGCCCAGCGGGACAGAACGGCAGGGAGTGGGGGAAGAAGAGGAGGGGGGTTAGCAGTGGGGCACCGCAAGACCGTCCGAGCGCTGAAGAACACACAGCCAAGCATCATCCCTGAAACGAGAGTATGGCTCCAATGCAGCCGGCTGACCGCAAAGGAGGCCCTGCCCATACTTGTGCCAGGTACGTGGTGGATGTTTTCACACAACATGACACGCAGCCCTACGTGCTCTGTGTGTGGCTTTTTTTGTCATGAGCTACCTGACAGGCAATCAGGTGATTCAGCTACCTTACCATGGTTTCTATCCTCCCCACTCAAGTCCTCCCACTGTTGCCACGTGTTCCATCAGCAACTGCACCTGAAATTCAGGCCCAAGGTGTGTCACTCCCTGCTGACGCTGCCTGCTTCTTCTCATTGGTCCACACAGAGAAGATGGAACAGCTCCTACCGTTGCCACTCTTTCTGGAGGACTCTGTAGTAATTACATGCCATGACTGCAGAAACTAAGATCCTGGGTTCAGACAACACAACATGCTACGCTGGTGCAGAGGAACCATAGTGAAAATGGTTGGTTGTTGTCATGGTTTCTAAAGACCAACTTACCATGGTGAAACACCACAACTAGGTTCAGACAACACAAAAGATTAACAATTTAAAAAACCTCCACAGCAGTGTATTTTTACCTCTCCAGTGAGCATACACACAGAAGGACAAATGTGTGCATGTATCACTATGAATCCAGGATTCCTCAGACTATAAAAACAGCCCATAAAGCTACCCAAAGGCAGCCAAGTGATGCTCCTGTTCTACAGATGAGGAACACTGAGGCTGGGAGAGGAGTGAGTAGCACAAACCTAACCATGGCACAGCTACTGTTGGTTATTTTTAACTTGGAGGCTGATTTCCACATTTTAAATTACTGGGAGTCAGAAGCTCTTGGAGATGTACTGCAAACCACTACCAGTAGATCTTTGTTAACCTTCCAGTCAGCCCAGCAACATAGCATCCCACCCAGAGAAACAGACAAAGGAAAACAGCCAAGTCAATACATTTGACTTAATCATAAGCAAACACTGCACTTTTGGTCTCCAGAATCAAGAGGACTAGAAACATATTTTGCCACTGAGATTTTAGAGCCTTCCCCTTCCCTCCACTAAATATACCTATTAGTGCTAAATTGAGTCATAAAATTAGTGCTATACCATCACTAACCAATTCCCCACCCTAATGCACTCACAGACATACAGAGTGGGTCTGTACTCTTCAGCACTGAGGGGAAGAATTAAATAAATTCCTGTTTCAAAAATTAAAGCACAATGGGATATGGCTCATGCAATGGAGGAGAAGGGCTGTGAGAGAGAGATGAAGCCATGTTCATGCTGGCTAGGTGCCCTCTCCCTCTCCCTCCCTCTCCCTCTCCCTCTCTCTCACACACACACATACAGATTTTTAAAAGGTTGCAATGCGCACTCCCACCAGGATGCTGCAGCATGGAGCTCTCCGTCTGTAAACTCAGGCCTATTTAAAAATGGTGGAGGCACAAAGGGTGTGATGTCAAGAGCTATGAGCCCATGATGCTCACACAATCCCATGCTACAGCTGATTCACAGTGGTAACTACTTCTTTCATTTAAGTAGCAACATCTTGCAGGGAATGGGCAATTTTTGGCAAGGGAACCTCTGTGACAATTCCTTGCACTGTAAAACAACTGCTTCCCAAAGAAAGCTGTCACCTGCTATGTTGTCAGCATGGAAACGTTTAAGCTCTCCCATGGTCACTGCAGTGGCCTTTCATGCTCCTGGAATAGGCAGGGATTTCCCTTGGGCTGGGCTGGCAGACTCCCTGCTTTAAGGGGCAGGTCTGGAAACAGCAGCATATTGTAGCTTAAAGCTCTTACTGCCCATAACAGAGCCTAAGGAGAGGAACTTCAGGGGAGAAAAAGCACAAAAGGATCTGTTGTTGGGGTCCAGGGTTGTGGCTATGTAGAGCCTGCAGGACCTGAGGGTACTCCAGGCAGGCCAGTGTTAGTCCCCGGCCTGAGGCCCTGTGCCCTGCTTGACTTCCTTGCCAGCCCTTCTGCTGCACTTGCATCTCTGCGAAGGTCAGAGCCGGAGGTCACATTACTTCAGAGGCAAACGAGGATGTTGGGATCAGCAGCTGCCCCATATCCGAGGTCAGGCATTTTCCAACCCAGGTTTATATGGGAAGAAAAGAGCTTGGAGGTGGGGGGGAATGGCTCTTCCTCCCCCATGCCCCATCATCCCACACCAGCAATCACACACCTGTGACTTCTCCACGGAGGCTGTGTGCTTGTCACACATGGGGCTGATTTCCATGCCTCGCTCCCGTTCTTTGTCTCCCTGCCTGAAGAACTCCTCCATGATCCGATCTGTCCATTGCCGGTACAATTCCAGAGGCTTTGTGGGATTGCTCAAGTCTGCGCAGTGAACCATGTTTCGTAGGACCTGGATGGGGAAAATGTAGGACTGATCAGAGGCACAAAAGTGGAGACACTTTCTCCCCACACAAGTACTCAAAGCTGCAAGTGCGGGTAGCTAACCCTTAGAAAGGAAGCTGTGGGATATGCTCATCTCTTTGTTTGTGTAACTTACTACAACCTAAAGTAGGGATTTTGAGTTTCTCAAAGCCCAAGGGCCAAATTCTATTTTGGAGAAGCTGTGGGGGCTGCAAACCAATCAAGGGCAGGACTGAAAGCGAAAAGGGCAGGGCTTTTTAGCAGATTTTAGCCAAGGAAACAGCAAACTATTGGTGTTAGGGTGGAAAAGAGAGGGATCCAAAGGAGCAGCACAAATATTTGCAGACAGTAATATGTTCACTGGTCTAAATGTCTGCACGCCTCATCTGGGAGAAATTTTTCTATGGCTCCAAAGCTGGCAGAGAGTGCTGGATGAGAAATTTCAGGGAGGCGTGAAGCATGCAAATCACCAACAGTCTGAGAGTAATGAATCTAGCTGTTGAACCTATATAGCTTACTTTCTGCACCAATATGGCAGCCAGGGATCACCAACAACTTGTGGGAAGATTTGGAAATGAGCTATTTCTGTAAAGTCATGCAGCTGGAAGGGGCCTGGAGGGCCATCAGGTCCAGACTCCCACTAAGTGCAGGAGTCAAGACTCCCACCTAGATTCTAACCAGGCCTGACCCTGCTTAGCTTCCACAGGATCAGGCACTTCAGGCTATACAGAAGCATAATTTGAACAGCACCTCCAGAACCCAGCTGAAGAAACATTAGCCAGTGCATGAAACCCCTGTGGATTGCTTTATGTTTGTTCTCATTTGGCATTTAAGAAAACTGCATTTAAAAACAAGAGAAAACCCAACAACATAGCAGCAGGAAAGGAGGAGGAGCTGTCGGCTTGGGTCCTGCTTGGCCTGGCTGCCAGCAGTGCGGCTGTCCAGAAGGAGCTGCTGCGGTTTATGAACCTTTCACGTGCCCAGGGAGGAGTCAGAATTTTGTTTTGGTCTATTAATTCACCAAACTTGGCAAATTTCTTCATATTTGAGATGGAAAAACTTGACATCAACAGCAATCAAATATGGGAGAAAACCAGACTGCCAGACTGGTGCTTTCTTACAGGGATGTGAAGGCCTGCTCAGGCCTGTGAGCAGCTGGCAATCCCCTTCTGCACTCCAGCCACTGCCGCCAGGAAAGCGCAGGAACTGCAGCCTAAGAGGGGCTGGCCTGGGGGCTTGTTCCTCCACTCACCCTGTGCAGCAGCAGCAGTAGCAGCAGCAGAAACATGGGACTGCCCTGCTACCACAGCCCTTCTTGTGCATTCCTTGAAACGTGCATTTATCTTGTTTCAAATACCCTTTGTTGTAAGCTGCCTTGGAGGCCTGCTGCCCGGCCGGGTAGAATCGTTTGAATAAAATAAAGGGTAAGCAAAAGAAGTTCCTCCGACCCTGCACGCCTCACGCTTGGCAGGCTCTGAGAAGACCAGAGTGCCTCTCCCTGCTTCTTGGCACACTTGCTGGCCAGCTAGCAGGTATGCCAGCCTGAGGCCAGCGTCGCTATGTTAAAATACCATTAAGAACAAGTGTGCAATTAAAATACTGGTGAAATAAGAAGGTCTTCATCTGGTGCCAAAAAGAGTATAAAGAGGGTGTCAGGCAAACCATTCTGGGGAGCTCATTCCAAAGTCAGGGTGCCACTTCTGAAAAGGCCCTTCTTCTTCTTGCCACCCTCCTTATTTCCCAGGGGGGTCTCAGACGCAGATCCAAGGTGCCGATACTAATCACAGACACTTCCAGCCTTGCTTACCTGTATTCTGTCAGTGTAGTTGTCCAGCAGCAGCACCCCTGAGCTGGTCACTTTCTTGGTCTCCACCATTGTCTTCAGGTCAGCCAAGAGGCTCATATGTTTGGACATGTCGGTAGCCAGGACCTGCAGCAGCAGAAGCCATCATTTGAGTGAGAGAAGGGCTGCTTCAGGCCGGCTCTGTTCCTGCTTGTTCCTTCTCAGTGATTTAAACACCTCCGGGTATGCACAGCATCTCTTTAGACCCACGGACTTCACCGAAACCACTGGCTGTGAGAATGCCACTTTGTAGGGCACGCGTCCCTAACCTGGTATCTCTCCGACGTGTAGAACTACAACATCCATCAGTCCCAGCCAGCACAACCAAAGAGTAGGAATGTTGGGAATTGTAGTCCTAAGAATCTGAAGTATACCAGGTTGGGGGTGGCTGCTCTAGGATGATATGCTTCCAGATGTTGTATCACATGGATAGGGACCTTGTTCCTCCAGACTTTACTTTACTCCAAGCCCCATTAGTCCTGGCAAGCATTGCTAGGGACTCAGGGACAGAGGGAGTCGCAGTCCAAAAGCACCTGAAGTTTACCACCCCTGAGCTGTGGGAGTTCAACATGCTTGAAAAACACCAGGGCTGTCAGTTGATTTAAGTGTGGTCTAGATTAGTTAATCAGTTATTTTAACCATCAGCCTTCCCCAAACTGGCACCCTCGCAATGGTTCAATGTTCAGAATTCCTGACCATTAGCCAGACTATCTCAGGTTAATGGGAGTTGAAGGACAAAACATGTGGAGGGCACCAGGTTGGGTGTGTGTTGTGAGAGCAAAAAGACCTACAACTCCCAGCATGCCCCAGCCAGCACGGCTGGCCTTTTTTCCTCTATAAATAGGCCTGGGATTATGCACTACAAACATGCAAATGTGCATATTATCAAAACCTTAATGAATACTGCCCCTACATCTTCAGGTCTCTCTGTAAAATCCTACCAGAATAGGGGCTAATCCTCTTCTTATCCTGATGGTTGACAGCAGGAAGGGTAATCTGATGCTCCCAGATTATGCTTCAGTATGTTTGCCCAGTTTCTATAAGGAAGGATGAGGCAGTGGCAGGGCAGTGTTATCTGCATGGAGATCCTTGGCTACTGGGTGGTATAGAATGAATGAATGAATGAATGAATGAATGAATGAATGAATGAATGAATGAATATGCTGTGGAGCAGAGGTGGGTGGACACGGGCCTTCCCTCAGGGCACCTCAAGTCAGTTTGGAAGTTAAGGAGAAACCATGCAATGAAATAAACCCTGTGTTTTCCTCTGGGAGGTCTGCTCTTATTGCCCCAAGTCCAATGTGCCCTGCTAAGCAGTAATCAAGAGTCACAAAGTGGATTTACATATAGTTAAATCCGTGTTTCTGGTGGGCAGTATTAGCTGGCATGTGTTTGCACATGGTCAATGTCCATGTTTTACATTTGAAATAAAAAGTCACAGCATGCTAATGTTTCAGACCAGAACCAGGGCAGAGGATCAGCCTGCCTGCAGTTCTCCTGCACTGGGAAGTTCTTTTCCCCCACTTTAGAGGGACCTGCCATTCCTCCCATGCTGCTTTCTGTGCAAGCGCTGCAGCAAAATGTATACAGTGAGCAGTGGAGGAATAAGGAGGGACAAATTGAAACTATTTTATTCTCAAGAAGGCCTTCCAAGTTGCCCTTTCTGTGAACAAGTTGGGCAGAGATGAAGTCCTTCTAAGAGAAACAAGGTGGCACAGTCCAGCTCAAGTTCCACCACTAAGGCCAGGAATTAAACCTCTGACTGGGAATGCTGCCCAAGGTACAGACGTGCTCTGGTCCCCGTGGCTCACCATGTCAATGACCATCTTGCGCAAGGTCTGCCGCTGCCGCTTGCTCAGATTCTGGAAAATGTCACAGTTCTCTTCCTGCAGTAGCTTAAAACCCACGGCCAGGTGATGGTTCTCCAACACAGACTCATCATTGTACATCAGTGCCAGCTCCGAATCTGCCAAACAGGGTCCCATTAGAACATGCCAGGGAAAATGGGGAGGTCTATTTTGTTTTGCGAGTTTAGGCCCCCTTTCCACACCAAGTCATTCCAAATGGTTTTCAAAATAAAGATAAATACATCAGTCTATGCTTGTTTTTTAAGAAGCTCAGAGCAGCAGTCAAACAGCAAGATGTCACAGGAAGTTAACAAATCCTTCAAAACCAGAAGCCTACTGATGCAATCAGGATGCCTCCAGTGTGGGAACCGCAGGGGTCCCTAGGGGAGAGTTTTTCCACAGGCTCAGCATCACCCACCCAAAACGTCAGCATCTCTCACAGTGGCAGGATTACGAAACAAGAACTCTGCTGGTGACCTCAACAAGTGGGAAGGGTTCCAGTTCATGCTCAGCCCAAGGTGCACACGGGCAACACACCTCATCTACCTCCCTGATGGTGGCTCTCCTTCCTTGCTCGTGCTCCTGGCCAGCTTTCCCCCACTTGGTGCCCTCCAGAAGTGTTGAACTGCAACTCCCATCACTTCCAGCCAGCATCAGGCTGGCTGAGGATGATGGGAACTGCCGGTCCCAACACATCAGGAGGGTACCAGGCTGAGGAAGGCAGGTTTCAGCTATGGCTTGATGCTATGTGTGGCTCCAGAACCCAAAGGACATATCAGTTCTACAGAAAGGGTGGGGCGTGAGAACATGGCTGTACCACCTGAGCCTGGAGAATCTGGACGGCTCCACTGGAATGTATCCCCCTGCCATTCTTGTTTTAGCATCAAGAGTTTTGGAGAGCGTGTCTCTTTCTTCTGCACATCCTTTTTGATCATTAAAATGTACTGTCACTATCCTGTTCCACCCCACCCCCAGTAACATTGCAATAAGATAAACATGCCTCTTTCTTCCTTCCTATACCAATTCTTTTGCAGTGGAAAGGCCCTTACAATAAAACTAACATAAAATTATTCAGCTACACTGAAGCCATTTTACAGTATATTTCTATGTTTTCCTGTGTGTTAAGTACAGTCAGGTTTTAATTTGGGCTTATTCTGTGCTAAGTTCTCTACACCAGACGCTTGAGACATTACCAAAGGTCAGGAATGCTAGCAGCTGAAGTCCAAAATATTTGGAGATGTATTTTTGCCCGCCCATGGTCTATACTGCTGACACTTTGGGAAAAAAAACTTAATACATACGAGCTTGGCCAGGAAGGACCCTAATGGCATACTAGGAAAGTGCCCTATTATACACTCTATCAGGCTAAGAATCAGCATCAGCATTAAAGCCGATAAGCTAATTCTTCTTTATCGTCGCCCTGTGGCTGTCTCTAGCTGAAGCAATTACTTCACTGGGCACTCAGTCCCACAACACCTGCTGCAGCAGCCAATGTGTCTGATTAGCCTCTTGTCATCCTGGCAGCACTTTCTGAATTGGTTGACATCTGCTCTGTGATGGACCACAGAATGGAGGCGTATCAGGGGAGGCAACTGAGAGATTCCCCCCACCCACCTCCCACAGCCTCCTGTGGGGGCAGAGGTGGGAAGGGAGCACGAGTGGCGGTCTGGCTGGAGAGGGCAAGGCTGTGGCTAGTCTGGCCAGGGAGAACCAGGATGAAGGGCCTGGGCTAGGCTGTTCGAAGGCTGGCCTGTGGACTGGTATCTTGTCATGAGTTCTTCTCATCTTGACGTTTATAGGTCATTTTGTACACTTTTTGTGATTTTTCATTTTCAGCACAGTTTCTCTGAAAGGTTGAGCCACAGTATTTTAAATCGCTAAGTCAGTACAGGAGCATGTCTGTAAGTATGCGCAGATGATGTTAAGCCTGGGCAATGCTCCAGGGGGCACTTTGGCCTTGGGGGCCGCAGAGTTCCACTCCCGTGGCTCTGGGACAGGGGAAGGTGGAGGAAGCTTCTTGCAAAATGGGTGAACAGAGGCCTGCTCATTCTGCCCCAGTGCTGTTTGCCAAACCCATCTGTAGGCATCCAAGATGGAGCACTTATCTCTACAAATCCCCATCTTCAAATGCTCACGACATCCCTCGAGAAGGCGCTGGGGCACAGGCACTGCAGAATGAATTTACTATAGGCATTAAAAGGCACAGACCTTGACTGTGTAAAAGAAACAAAGGGTGTCTTGCAAATCCTTTCCCCTCTACACTACCCTCTATAAGCACTGCTCCCCGCATGTAACATGCTCAGGGTCCCCTCCTACACTCTGTTGCTGAGAGCCTCTACATGCCACTCACTGGTGTTGATCAGGAACTGGTTGGAGACGCCAGGATGGTCCACATCATGAATGGCAGCAGCGAATATTGCAGCCAGGATTTCCAGGTCTGTGAAGACAGCCTGCAAAGAACAGAAGGAATGAGACATCTTGTGGCATGTTTGTTGGTATTCAGCAGACTGGGGCAGATGAAGGGGACCTGCTGCTGGAAATACGGGGGCCAGAACTGGGAGCTCCCACTTCGCTGTGCCACAAACGTGCCCCATGCAGTCAGCCACTATGAGTCAGAGTGTTCCCTGGGCAATAAACAAGTCTTTTTAAGGGTCCAATGGACAGAATTTCTCTGAGGTGAAAGGGATGGCGGCCTGCCTCCATCTACCCTTTGCCTGGTAAAAATGTAGGAAAAGCTGCTGCCACTAAGATCCAGGATCCCCACATCCCATGTTGGATACCCAGTGTGGTGTAGTGGGCAACAAAATGGATTCAGACGTACAGAGAAATACTGATAACTGATGAGGTGGTTATTGTCATTATTGCTTCCTCTTTGGCACTGGCGCAAACATCAAGGTGCAAGGTTTGCCATTCTCAACCAGGCCAAAGGTCTATGTGGGCAGCTCAGAAGCAGGGCCTAAAGAGAGGGAGCGGTTTCCCTGCGGTGGCTCCAGTGATGCACGGCTCCCCCACCGCTTTACCGTGGCCTTAACCATGCTCTCACCAACTTGCCTGGGCAAGAAGCAGGCAGCAGCCGCTCTGTGCCCTACTTTGCAGAGTCTGGCCACGGACTGGTTGCTCCACACCAGCACGTGCACACCAGCCTTTCTCGTCTACAGCTCTTGCCACATGCATACCTCCTCCTCTCTGCCCATTATCCTTCCCTGGTTTCATTCCAGACCCATGCCTCTTGCTTTCTCCTCTTCTTCTCATCCTCCTGGAGTTGGCCCTATTCTAGTTCTTGTTTTCCTGGGCCCTGCTTCTTTCTTACCCCTCCTTTCTTAGGATCCTTCACCTTGCCTGCCTCTCTCTCTTAGCTAGAGCAGATCTGCCAATGGCAGGCAGAGGAACTCCGGACCACAAACATTCCACCTTTTTGTGACAGGCAGGCAGTTGTGTCAATCACAGCCAGAGGCTTCACCACTGCTTCCGTTACACTAGGGGCAGGCAGCATGAAGCTCTCCAGATGTTTTGTCCTACAACTGCCATCAGCTGTGGTCACTGGCTATGTGGGCGAGGGCTGATGGGAACCGTAAGTCAAAACGCCTTGAAGACCACACATTGCCCATGTCTGCCTCATCGCATGAGGGTACAGCTCTTCTGAATGGACCAGACCTTGCGAGAAAAGTTGGGCAGGGAGACTTGCTCCGTGCTATGCGTGCTTGAAGATGACCTCCAGGGCCAGTTCTGCCACCCAGCACTGCAACCCCAGCTAGTATCACCTCTCTCTCTCCAAAAACCTCCAGGGGAACTACCCTCCTAGAGGGGCTGGCAACACCCAGAACGGGGCCTCTCTCTTGCCCACTCCTTTGCCAGGACTTACATCCAAGGCTGGTGTGGAAAGCAGCACGTGTGTAGACTGTGTGACATCAGCAGCATGGAGGCTGTTGTGGTAGGCCACGTCGGCATGGTAGTGGTCTTCTAGCGTCATGATGTAAGTGACTAATGTGTCCACAGGGATCTTGAATGTTTTCAGCAAGTCTCTTTCCTACAGAGGGTGAGGGGGAAAAGAAGCATTTCTTGAAAATATTAGAAGCATCCCCAGTTAGGGAGGCAGCTCAGTCACCCATGCAGCCTGGGAGTTGCAGTCCAACATTTTTGGAGGGAAGGCTGGGCTAGAGCCTACTTTGGACAACAGCATCTGACAAAGTGGGCTCCAACCCGCAGAAGTCTGAACAATAACGAAGGCATGAGTCTGCCACAAGTGTCTTGACTGCTGCAAACCAACTACAACAAACTAGACATTAGCTTCTTTTGTTTTTCCTACTGTGCCCCACTTCCACTCTCCAGAGGACCTAAGAATACTGAACTGCAACTCAGCCAGCCCTCAGTACATACCCCCTTAGAAGTCAGGGTGAGAACCTGGAGGCCCCATCTGACAGTAGACAACACAATCTGGCTCAGAACCCTCCCCCTCAGACTCAAACACATTGGAATACATGCATTTTGTGCACCAAAAATGCTCTGGAAGGTACTCTCATACAAAACCTCTCCCTTTGAGATGCTCTTGTTGTATTTTGGCTTGCTTCACTTTGCAACTTAACATCTCATGGAATAATTCAGGTTGAAGGATAAAGTTAAAATATTATGAAAAAGCATCTTGAACTTTAAACCAATATGCAATACTTTGTAAATCGCACCAGTATTTCTGTTCAATCTGCTGTGGCCCAATCTGGCAGAGAGACTGAGGCAAGGTGGCGAGAAAACAAGATATTGCAATGTGAGCACATGTACCTGGAATACAGTATACATGATGCAACTGAGCGACCGATTGTTGGAGTACTCGGCGACCCGGAAAATGTTAAGGCCCCACTTGTTTAGGTATTCCAGTTCCTGGAAGAGACACGAGGGAAAGAAGTTAGTGTACTTTTGCCACTGTAAGTTCCAAGATAAACAGAGGTTATGAGAACAAGAAACCAAGCCGATGAGGAAAGCAAACCCACCCGCTGTGCTCTCTGTGTTGCTGCAGCTGGAGCCTGAATGGGCATTGCAGGGTTGGAGGGTTGGTGACTGTCCTGCCAGGGAGTGCAGTTTCTGCCCCAGGCCAGGAATGCCAGCTCTGGCTCCAGTTCCATCAGAGCCCATGTAGCTAAGTGGTGCAGCAGTGCTACCCCTGTGGGTGCTCCACCACAATTTAGCAAAAGCTAAGTGACATTTAAGGAGAGGAGATCCAGGTGGTACATCCTGTTTTAACTAGGACCACTTATAATTGAAAAAGCAATCCCACTGTCCCCAGGAAAGAGTCCTAAGGACTACAGGAGTCCTCATAAAATCCTCCTGAGGTTGGAGTGGTGGAGATTCAACCCAGTCCCTGCCCCCTTGCAGCTGGCATGGAGGGAATCGTGCCAACTGCCTCTCCAAGGTCGGAAGCTCAACCTCTGGAGGTGGGGATGTCCCAGTGTGTGTGGTGGTGAGGAGAGTGGAGAGGCCTGGATATGGGTTGCCCTTCTTTCCATTCCGAAGTGTCGTCATGAAGAAGCCTGCCTAGTGAAACATGCAGGGTGAGGGGATGGGGAGGTGACAAGCCCTGAACTGGATGATCAGATGCCTCTGAGTTCAGGGACTTCCAGTCAGCAAGGGCACAATCAATGCGTGTGCACCCTAAAGGACTCAGAATCAGTCCAGTTTCATAAAGGTGATTTTTTAATTGAAAAATAACCTCCTGTGACCAGCTCAAAAGAACAGGTCTGTGAACTGTACTGAGAAGCTTCTGAACCCCCAGTGGTACCAGGGGAGTGAAAAACTTACATACATCCAACTCAGTCAGCTGACCAATTTTAAGGCCGCTCCCCATGCATGATGGTCACATATGGCAGCATCCCCCAGTGGTACTCTCCAGATGTGCCAAAATGATGGAAGCTGCATCCCAACACATTTGGAGGGTGCTGAAATGGGGTTGGTTGATGTATGTGGTGCTTAAGTTATGAAAATGACTTGTTGGGAAGTTCTTTTTAAAGAAAACATCTACGCTAACCCTTCACCACGTGTTCTCCGCTGCTTTAGATGGGCATTGGCTTTCATCAAGACCGCTGCATTTGGGGTGAGGGTGTCACAGTGCTGCACACTCTGGTGTCTGGTTTTTTAAAAATACCTGGTCATATCTTAGGGATAATTGAGATATGAACAAACTTTGAGGCCTCACAAATAGTTGTGCTTCTCCCCTGGCTCTAGAAGCTGGAAAACCGTTTAGGAAATTTTCAGTTCAATATAGTTTCCTCTTTAAAGGAAACTACTGTCAATAGCTCTGAACAAGCCAGGACTTAAATCACCTTCTATCCATCCATGCTTGTTCACATCTTGGTTTATTAAACTGTTCAAATGTGTGTGGATATTGCCCTAGTCCATGAAAAAGATGCCCTAGTCCATGCTAATGTAGGCAGGGCAATTACAGAAAATATTACAGGCTTCTTCTATGCCTTTGCAATACCAACATGGGACTAAGATTATCATGATAATCATGTGGGAGATTGTGATCTGTATATACAATTTTGATAAATGTGTTTGGTTTTGCTTTCTGATTCTTAATTTTTAATTTTGCTATGGGATTTATTCCTGCAAGGAGATCCATCTGGGTCGTTTATTTTGAACCATTTCAAAGGTCTGTAACTAATGTTTTGAACATATTGTTTATGATTTTATTGTTACTATGTCTGAGACCATGTGAACAAGCCCATACAATGTGTTTATGCGCTGGATGCACGCAGCCCAATAAATATATGAATCTGTCATTTAACAGTGTTGGTGAGGTGGCCTTCCTAGTGTAAATTGGGCTAGTCTGGGCATAACATGCATGCCCCGTAAGGTCTGTATGCTCTCCCCTTACCCGCTTCTCCTGCTCACTAGCTTCAGCACTTCAGTCTCAGTCTCTATAAGCCAGAAATTGAAACAGATCGTGGCTCCTGATTTGAACTGTGTAGAGAATTGCAGATAGAGACCAGTCTTGAAATGCCAATGCTTGATTATGAAGCATGGGATGCCTCTCCCTGGGTTAATAATTTATGGTTTAAAAATTGTACTTCCTATACATAATTTCAAAATATCGAATGTATATCTCATTAACATACTTGTATTATATCTTTTAGGACGAGTGAAATAAAGACTGAATAGGAATCTGCTAACTCAGCAGCTCGTGGCTAAACTTTTCAGCCAAGAGTACCACAAGCAAATGCCAGAATATGAGGAAGTGGCTCTTTAGCACATGTGGCAACCCTTGTGCCCTGGCGGTGCTTTCGCCTTTGGTCCACTGAACCTGGGGGCAGGCAGGACTGCAGACATGGCTCTAGAGCAGAGGTGGGAAATTCAAGCTCAGACTCTCAGTCTAGCCTTCCAGTAGCCCCTGCCCCCCTGCCCCAGGCTCTCTTCATTTCTTTGGTTCTGTGCAGTTGTTTTCTCATCTCTGAGAGCTGAACTGTCTCTCCTAACAGGACTTCATTACTGGCAGTAAGAGATGGCACCTGGCGAATTTTTGGAGAGGGCTGTTTTTGGCCCCAGGCACCACTGGAATGCAGCCTTTGAGAGCACATCAAAAATTGAATTTGGCTCTGGAGGCGAAAGAGACTCCCTGCCTGTGTCTAGCTCCCAGTTCTGGTGCCACCTGTGATTTTTACATTGCAGACCAACCACCTATTTTCTAAAATTGGATAGCCATGGGTAACAAGTGGCCTTGAATTTGCCTCTGGTGAAGGATGACAGGAGTGTAGGCCCAAATATCTGGAGCACCACAAGCCGCCTACCCTGGCCTATAATGAAAGTGGGGGAGAAACATCAGACTCCCTTTCAGTCTTGCTTTACTGATGACCCTGATTTACTGATTTACCGTCTATATCATACTTAGGTTAGACTTTCCTCTGCTCGCTTCCATCATACAGAATCACAGTATAGTAGAGCTGGAAGGGGCCAAAGAAGCCAAGAGGCCAACAGGTCCAACCCCCTGCTCAGTGCAGGACTCCAAGTAAAACCACCCCTCTCAGATGCCAGGTGTCACAAGTCTCACCTTACTGAGCAACTCCTCCTGATCAGTTTTGACCCCAAAACGGGGGATGCTAGAATTGGTCAGGCTGGAACTGTGCATGAGTTTCTTGACCCCGCTGATCTGGCACATGGGTTGCTGGCGCTTCTTCTTCTCCCGCTCTTTCTGTGTTGGGGATGGGATCTCCACATCATTCTGCTTGTCTGAGGACGAAAAGAGACTGCATCTGAGAGAGAGAGGACAAGGGCGAAAGACTGAAGGCGCCACCATCTGGCCTGTGCAAGACTTTCTCTGTGCACATGTTCAGGCATTAGGGGCACATGTGTAGGTCTCTGTTCCTGTCTGCTTCCCTGCCCTACCAAAATGATATCCCTGTACTACACAGGGATATGTACATGCAATTAAACAAACCCTGCCTTAAAAGTCTGGGTTGCTTCTTTCATCAAAGCAGAGTTCTGCTTTTGGACATCAGAGAGAACATCCCTAGGAACAGGAAGATCGCAGGTTGGTTATGAAAATGGAAGCAATCAGAAGCCAGCATACTTTTCCAGGGTACTGACACAAAACCCATGGTTAATAAAACATGGCTCCTTAATTGTGCAAAGTGGGTCAGAGTTTCATTCCAACTCAAAGAGTTTTGCATTTTAGTTATGAGAGTTTATTGCTTTCAGCATGAAAAAGGCTCACAATCCCATTCTGAATACCTTGCACAGCAGCCAGGATAATGCAAAATGAGTAAGTATCAATGGATGCTGTGCTGACAGCCATGCATAGACAATAATGTCTTAAGAGGGTTGGAGGCATCCATGTCCACCGCAGTTTCCATTGTTTTAGCCCACCTGGTCGTATCCCCTGGTTCTTTCAGTGCTTCATGTAATACCCAGGAAAAGCAGAAAGAAGCTCCCAGAACTGAAGTCAGTGTGCACGAACTTTGTGGCCGAAGTGCTGCAGGTACCTCTTGGGGAGTACCAATGCCCAGATCAGCGTAGGAATGGTTGGCAGGATTTTAAGAAGTATCATCATCGTTGCCATCATTGCCATCACCATCATCAGAGTGCAAGTGTTCATCTGCACAAATGATGGATTATAGTAGTGTTTGAAACAAATGAATATATCTGTTGGAAGGCTTCCTGCTGTCAATACTAAATCCATTCCAAGCTCTGTTTTTCTTTGGACAGTGTACTTTCCTAATCTCCAGTGTTAAAGTGGACTTCTGCTCATGTATCTGAATGTGCTTAAATAAATAACAAAAAGGAGCACTCAGGGTGCCCAAATATAGCACCTCAACAGAATGCTTCCCTCGTTGCGTGTGTTAGCTATTTAAGGTGCAGCCCTATGCAACTTTATCAAAAATGGCCTACAACTCCCAGCATGCCCCAGCAAGGATCTTATCTTCAACCTCTCAAGTAGGATTATGGCTTTCTATTACCATTCATTTCCCATGGGGGGGGGGCAGATGGGGGAGGGGGGAAGTAACATGCTGGACATGAGGACAATGTTGCAGTGGAAGAAAGTCCTGTCCACCCACAAGAGCAGTTGGGGTGTCTGCGTGCAGAGAATTTATGTCCCCTTGCCCCCTCCTGAGGGTAGCTCAGGGGCTGTGGAGAAGAGGCATCGAGCTGCTTTCCAATCCTGACCTGGTCTCCTGTATTCCTCAAACTGCCATGGCCTCCAGGCTTGAGAAAGGAGGGAAGCAGCCCATTTTAGCAGAAGGAAAGGAGGCCATGCCATGAATTTTCTCCTCCACCTTCTACCACTTCTGTTCCTCACCCCAAGAAAAGTAGGGCAAGGATTGTTTGGAGGTGGGCAGTGGACAGGGAGGAAGAGGCTGGGAGATGTAGGTCTAGCCCTTCCACTTGCTTTTCTGAGAGGATGAGGAAGAGGAAAAGGAAGAGGAAGAGGAGGAGAAGGAACTGGACAGGGAGTGGTAAGCACACACAGGCAGGGCTGGGGAAGGAGTTGAACTCCTTGCCCACCTTCTGGCAGAGCAGGTCTTTTCCTGGTTAACAAGTGTGGTTGGAAAATGGGAGTAGAAGTAGTACAGCTTCCCTCCCACTGCCCAGAGTCAGGAAAAATCCTGTCATTTATGGATTCAGTTCTCTTTGCGCTCCCTTTCCCAAGAAGTGGACTGTGAATCTGAGCTATTCTTAACAAGGAGGGGTCAGCAGTGTGGCTTCCCCCCAAAACCTGCACACAGCCTGTCCTCCATCCCTTGAAATCTATTACCTGTGGCTGGGATACCACACAGCCAGCACTGGGGTGCCACTGAGCGCCCGTGGGAAGGAGTGGGGATGTGGGCACAGGAGTGCTTCCTGGCCAGGGATGCTGGCCAGCCATGCAGAGCTCTGGGCTGGAGGGCTCTGCTAAGGAGGAGCTGTGTGTGGGGAGACTCACCCTCAGGAGAGCAGGGCCTTGTTCCCCCTCCTTCTTCCAGGACTGTCTCCAGGGGCAAGAAGTCACGGCTGGGTGGCACCCACTGGGAGAAGAGAGGTGGCGGTGGGGACAGCCTGCCCAGGGGTAGGTGGCGGATACTGGGGGAGCCCAGTGGGGGAAGGAAGTGGGGAGGGCGCAGGGAGATGGGGAAGTGAGAGCGGGTCACGTCATCAGCTATTCCCCAATGGTAACTGCGGGAGAAGCAGCGGCAGGGGGGCCTCATGGCAGAGTGGGGGCGGGGGCGGGAAAGAGGGAAGCAGGGCATGGCCCATGGCTGCATTCTAGAGTTCTGGGCTCTGTGTTCCTAGGAAACCAGCCTGTGACATCACAGAACACCCAGCCCAAGCAGCTTGCAGTGGAACTCTTCCATGTGGGTGAAACGGGGTGCCTCCCTTCTGTGCACCCCAGACATCCCAGGATTCTGAGACTGGCCTGGGAGCTGGCATGCTGGGAGCACTTTGCACCCCCAGACTGGAGGGCTTCCTCGCAGTGTGGTGAGTGCTCCATAAATCATGCCACTCCAGACAGGCTAGGTGGGTACTTGGCTCAGGCAGGGATTAGGTGAAGCAGGAAAGACAGGCCAACGCAGACGCTCTTGGCAGAAGTGGGAGAAGAAGGAAGTATTCGGTTTCCTTTCCTCACCCAAGCTAACAGACCCCTTCTCCCCACTCTGAGCCAGGAACAACACAGAAGTCCTGCCTTGCTTCTACTCCTCTTCTGCAGCCAAGAATGGAATCCAAATGTCAAGGTGGTTCCCAGACTTGGCCCTCTGCTAGCCATAACTAACTCTGCCAGAGCCCGAAACCACCCAGAAATCTCAGCATCTGGAATCTTATGCAGTCACACTGGAAACACACATCTCGCTGGTGTCCAGCCTAAGTTCCCCATCTGATAAGCCACTCTCTCAATAAGAAACTCGGTGTCAGCAAAGTTTCTGGGCTGGCTGTGTTCCCACCCCACTAAGCACTGAAAGGCTGGCCTTGGTTTCTTGCATCTTTTGTACCTCAATGGCGTGCACTGCCCTGGCACCTGACCTTGGCAGGACAGGCTGCAGCTGCTCCAGAGGAGCCAGGAGTGTGAATTCTGGCCTCTACACAGCTTACACTTGGCCTGAGCGCTCAGCCTCAGTTCCGGCTCTCACACAAGGCTCCCATTGAAGTGGCAGTTTGCATCAACATTTGCTTAAGGCTGGGTATTTGCATCTGCTGACGTCAATGGAGGCTTGGCTTCTGGGGAGCTCAGTGGACAGAGGGCTTTGCTTCAGACACGTTCTTGTTACTGGCTATTCTTTCTGGTTCAGAGAGTGAGTGTGTGGGATTCTCGGGGAAACAGACAAGGAGAAACCTTTACTTCACATGGCCCTGCATTCCTCCATATGTAAATGTGGTATCTGCACTTTAATTTGCCTATGGTGGCAATGTAATGTTTGAGCGAGAGCAAAGAGCTATGTATGTTCATACAGTAAGAGTTGGAGGGGATGCATTTGCATAGGATGGTTTGTGCAGACTGGAGTCCTGAAAGGCCAATCTTATGCATGTTTACTTGGAAGTATGTCCTATTAACTGGGTTCTGGGGTTCAAACCACACAATAATCTACATTCAAGAGTTGAATGTAGGTTGTCACTACGTAACGGTGTGGGATTAAAACTTAGATGATTGTGCAGTTTAAAGCCAGCTGCTGTGGTACAGTCATAAGTAAATGTGCAAACTCATAAGTAAATAATGCAGACATGCATAAGTAAATTCCATATTCACTTTCCTGGGAATAAGTTCTATTGAATTGATGCATTGGAGTTTATTTCTGGGTACACATGTACAGGACTGCACAATTAATGTGAAATTTTCTTGTCCAGCCTCGTGTGACATGATCCAGCTGTCATGTCACAGGACCTAAGTACCTGGACTGAGTAGCAGCAGCCAGAGAGGGCCATTCCAAACAGGAGATAGAACTCAATGGTGCTAATTCTAGATATCACTTCCAGAACTGGTCACTGGCTGGACAGCTTTGCACAAAGCAGAGAGGTAACCTGGGGTCTTACTCCCCCTAAAGGATAAGGTCTGAAGTTTGAGGGTGCTCCTGCTCTTAAATTACCACTGGAATTCCATGTGGATTTGGTGGCCAGGAGCACCTTTCATCAGCTGAGGCCAATCCACCAGCTAGGACTCTATCTGGACAGGTAGAACATGGCACCAATCATTCATGCGCTGGTAACCTCTTGTCTGGATTATTGCAATGTTCTTTAAGTGGGGCTTCTTTTGAAGATGGTCCAGAAACTTCAATTGGTTCAGAATAGGGCAGCAAGGCTGATGATGAGGGCTGGCAGGTATGATCATATAATGCCAGTCCTCTACTATCTCCACTGGTTACCAATTGAAATCCAGGCCCAGTTCAAAATGTTAAAACTTCTGTTTTTAGCCCTAAACATCTTGGGGTCAAGATACCTATGGAGTGCCTCTTCCCACATGTGCCTACTCAGTCCCTTAGATCATCATTGGGGGTCTTTCTCAAGGAGCTCCCTCCTCAGGAAAAAGAAACAGAGCAAGTCAGAAAGGGTCTCCTAGGTCATCTAATCTGACCCCCAGCTCCAGCCAGCTCCACTCATAACATGCCTACCATGTGCATGTCCAGCCTATCCTTGAACATTCTCACCAATGGGACCTCAACCACCTCCTGTGGAAGCCCATTCCATACACTCGGGGTCCTGACTGTCAGGAAGTACTTCCTGGCATCCAACTTGAACCTTGGTTCTCTGAACTTTGCTCCATTGGAACACATCCTGCCCCAGTCTGCCAGGAAAAACAGGTCTCAACTCCACATGTCACCCCCACCCCCATGTACCTGTATATCACCAACAGATCCCTTGGAATCTCTTCTCCAGGCTGAAAACACCTGGTTCCCTCAGTCTTACCTCATACAACTTCTCCTGCAATCTGGCCACCATCCTTTTGGTCCTATGCTGCACTGATTCCAACCTGGCTCTATCCTTCCTGTAACGTGGAGCCCAGAATGGAACACAATACTCCAGTTGCAGGTACACCAGAGTGTTATAGGGTGGCAGTAATACCTCTCTCAATCTACTCTTTTGTCTACTTGGCTCAGTACCCATTTGCTATGGAGGTTCCTCTTATGTCTAATCCCTCTTACAACCTCTGTTTGAATCCACGGCAGTGCTCTCCTTCACCAAATAAGCAGGGTGGCTACAAGGAGAAAGGCTTCTCATCTATGGAACCCTGATTTTGGAACCAGCTCGCCAGAGAAGTTCTCCTGGCGCCCTCTTTGTACTCTTTTTGGCACCAGGCAAAAACCTTTTTATTTTCCCAATATTTTAACTGTGAGGATGATTTTAATTTCTTATATCTGATTTACTATCTGCTGTTGTGCCTTTTATGCTGTCCTTGTGGATAAATTGTGGATCTGTGAAGTTTTATAATAGTGTTGGCTTTGGATTGTTGGTTTGCTGGATTTTACTGTCATCTTGTTATTTTTAATTGTACTTTTGCAGAATATTTTTAACCGTTTAACCCACCCAGGGAGCCTTGCTGGTTGATATGGCAGGATAAAAATCTGATAGATAGATAGATAGATAGATAGATAGATAGATAGATAGATAGATAATCTGGTTCTGGGTTTGAGATAAGTACTGACAAGGCACAGAAGAACCCCTGGGTCTTCCACAAAGTTGAGTTAGCTGGTTCTGCCTACACATACAGGCACTTGCTGTGACTGAAAGTAAAGGTTATCAGTTCTGATAAAGTTAATTTACAATAAACCATGGAACAAGTAACCTTGAATCCAATTGTTGATTAACTGAGACGAAGCAAAAAGAAAAACAGTCTTAAAGAACTGAGAAGTTATATGATAATAAGGAAAAACAAATCCTCACCAAAGCTTTATGGGGAGAGGAGGGTCTTTTGAAGGGCACAAGCCCAGTCCTGACACGCAGGGCATTCTGTGTGGCCAGCCGTGAGTGCCCATGCTGCTCCCCTCTTGTGCCACTTCTGCTGTGCTGGGGAAGACAGTGGGGACAGAGCCATCCCAGCATAGTTTTCCTGCCCACCAAATGGCTGTTTGGTGACTTTCTCTGTGCACAGTCATCCTTATTTGAGCAGTACATCTTCCTCCCTGGCATAAACTGTTCTTGAAGTGCAAGGAGATACATCCCTCTCATCCCTCCATGATGAGATGGGAGGAGAAGTGTGCATCTATATGTGGGGAAGGGGAAAACGGTGTGTATGTGTTTTTACTTGCATAACTATGTTCTTGGAGGAAAGGGCACAGTCCACTCATTTTCCAACGCAGAGGTGCACAACCTGCAACCCCAAACATTAATGGTGGCATGGAAATGGCATGTCCCATCAGGGATTTTATCCCACTTCCCTCTCTGACCCAAGGCAGGCTTGTGCAAGATCACTGGGATGGGGGACAAGCCATCTCAAGCCCTAACCCCTCACCTTATTTTGTGTCTGTGTGTTTGTACATGTGCAGTCTCTTTAGGGTTGAAAGGCATGCAAATGGAAGCTTGTTTTAGTTGCCGTTTGTGTAATTTACAGCTCTGATTTTCTGGCTGTGCTGGTACCGTATTTTGTCTGTAAGCTTTCTTCTTTCCTAGTGATCCCAACCAATCAGAGCTGACTCTCTGCTGACATCAGTGAGGGCAAACAAAGCCAATCCATTGCCCTTAGTTTAAAATGGGGTGGGGAGCAGTAAGAATCTCCCTGTTGCCAAGGCAACTATGCTGCCTCAGCACCAGAGATGCTCCTTGTTCTTTTATGCAGTAGTTTAGGATAGTGCAGCAGGGAGGGTCTTGGAAGGATATTTGATTGTAGATGTCCTCTCCATGGGATGTGCATTTGAATATGTAACTGTGGGCACATTCTCACAGAAGTACTTATGAGACGATTATGTGAAACTAGAATGGGATTTGAGCAAGGGAGCATCATCATCGCACCCACTGCAAATATTTTTGCCACCTTACAAGCTGCTCACTCACTGGAAAGGGAGGTGCTTCGGGGGCTGTACATGTAGAAGTGGTAGCACTTTGGCTCAGCTCTAAGGAAAATAAACACTGCAAACAGAACACAGGTAAATCTTGGAGAAATGGATGAGTTCATTATTAGACTTGGAAGAACGTGCAAGAACTAGGACTGTTTTAGATTACAATTAAGATATAGAGGTCTACAGACAAAAGACCTAGAGACATTTTAATGAAACATTAAAACAATGAACTGATGAGAAAAATTATTACTGTGTTTATGGCAAGCCCATGAAACCTCTACTTAGCAAGCAAAGATTCACACCGTTGCAGATTTTTTAAAAATCATAAATGTTAAAGGAATATATAGCACTTCATATTTGTTACTATAATATCACGTATTGATGGGATTTTCAATTTAAATTTGTTATTTTTTCAATATATATTTGTAGCCCAGAAAAATATATCCCCTCTTTTGGGAAACACCTCTGGAAACTGAATAATCTTGAGGGCAAAACTGTATAATTAATGAGAAAAAGTTGATAGTAGTTAAGATTGCACACTATGCAGTAATGGATCAGGAGAATGTTTTCTTTCTAATATCTAATCTACCTCATCATATTTGACAGGAATGTCTTATCTGTAGATGGTGATGTCTGATGTTTTTTTCTGTGGGAGAACACATTGCGTAAATATGTATATCCAGAGAGCTCTGGCGTTGGGGTAATATGGAAATGACGATAATGACAACGATGATGACCATAGTATCTATACACACACACTAAGGAATGTACAAGAGCTAGGATCTTGACAATCCAAGGGTTTGATTCTTCTGCACTCACCTAAGAAGGTGTTGGAAATGTATTCGGAGACCTGGTTTCCCGAGCGGCTCATTTCAGATAGATGGGTTAATTCACGGTTCAGCATTCTTTTGAACTGCCGGGTGGGGTGGGGGGAGAGAGAAAGAGAATGGAGTTAATATGCACTTGCTGTCATGTACACTGGTGCAAATGGATATGCACGAAGATGCATGTGAGTGCACTGAACAGGTAGTTGTGTGCAGCTCCACAATACTTCGAATAGGCATGAGAGTACTTCCATGGGGAGCCCCATTTTGCATGTGCACGGAAAGACCGGCTCACAAAGCGAGAATTGCTGCAAGGTGGTGTTTGCAAGTGATCCTGTGACATTCATGCCACCTAGAATATGTGAGCTGCTCTGCAGTGGGTTTTTAATTGTGTGCCTAGGGAGCTTTGGATTTTTAAGTGAGAAGATCAGCAGTGGCAGATAAGTGTGTTTACCATTAGCAATCTTGTCCCACTTTTTTACTGCTCCGGCTGCAACCGGGTTTGACCAGCTTAGGCAGTACCTCCTGTGAACTGAGTGTGCACCCTCAAAAATATACTGGAATCCTTCATGAAGTATGGGGGGCTTTAGCTGCTTAAAGGAAATTCCACTGCAGCAACAAAACTAAACAAAACAGGTTTTTCTGAATGTAGGAAGCTTGGAAACCGATGCTCTGGTGACATATGCACTTCTGCTGGATGTGTATGCATTTTCATGTGCATACACACATACGCGAGCATGCAAACATCCCCTGAAATGGAGATGCTGTTGCACAGATGCAAAGGCACCACTGTGACTGTGAATTTATGCAATGTTTTATTATATTGTCATGGGAACACATGCATACAATGTGCCAAAACTGTGAGCTTATGGTGCTGCTGATTTCAGAGTAGGCATGAGCCTTGTGAGCATGCATGGACCTCCTGAACAAACACCTGAGCTCCAAGAGAGTTTCACTGGAGCAGGTCAATTCTGCTGTTGCTCAGAAACACCACTGATAGGAGGCCAGCTGAAATCTTAAACGCAATGGCTAGGAATAAACTCTTTCTGAATAAAGAAGAGACTCTCCTGACTTCATACTAGATGGTCTTGGGTGCCCTACAGAAAAGGGAGGCTACTGGACTGCACAACACAGATGGCTCTGAGCATCTTCTCACTGAGACTAGGCTTACTGTGAATGACTAATGCTTGGATATAGCTTTGGTGAAATGCCATGGGAAGGGAAAAGATGCTTGCAGAAATGAGATGGATTTCACATGTGATTTGTTTAGGTCCTCAATGTACCATTACTCTTCATTTCTACATTGGGTGCCCCACTTGAGGGCTGTCTGCCCAAACAACTCAGTCCCTACTCCATCCTGACTCAACCATCTCTCTTTGTTTTACCTTCAATGATTTTGCCCCAGCCTGTCCAAAGGCTCCAGGTGGCTTACAGTTCTCTTCTGCAGACACCCCTCAAACCCAGTTTTCCTCCAGGGAACCTTTGGGTGTGTGTCTTACAACCAGACCTATTCCTCCAAACTTGCTGGCTTTGCCTCCAAACTTGCTGGCTTTGTCTTCCCTCCAATTCTTCTCAATTCCCCTGTGTGGAATTTAGCACAGAACAGGCCCTGTATGACCAAGTGCCCCTTCTCCTCCTGCAGGTCCCACAACAATTAGTTTTTCCTTGCAAAAGGTACAGCCAGCTCTTATTCTTATGAAGGTACCTTTTTCTTCATTGTGGCTTCCCAGACCTAAGCTTTGCTCTTGTCACAGCCTCTTGTACCAGATGGTTTCTCTTTCCCCTCCCAAAAATACTCAGATGAAATGATGCACTCTTTTCAGCTTCCATCTTTCTCACGCGTGCTCCATGAAACTGATAATGTGTTCTCGATTTCTGGCCTTGCACATTGCTGTGGTCTACAACCACTGAACATAAATCTCACCCAGGGACATTTTGACAGATCTTCAACAGTGTCGCTTCCCTAGATCACTATTACAAGTAGCAACTGCTGATGAAACAAATGAAAGCACCATTCCTAGGTCAAATCAGGTGCCTTTGGAATGCTAACATTAATCTGAAAAGTGGAGAATTCTCTTTTTCTTCTATAAAAAGGAAACTCAAGCTGGTACATGATGGCTCAGTGCAACAAATGGTGCCAGATTTTCATCCCTAGGGCAGAGGGATGGAGAAATGGGCTCACTGGACATTAAAAATTGGGCGCCAAGAATGTGAGATGGAGTTACTGGGTATCCTTTTGAGTAGTGCGGACAGGGGGTCTGGCCAGCTCCTTTTTACCTGATCCAACAAAGAACCCATGGACCTAAACCCCACTGACTTTCCTATAGTTAGTGGCAAAGAACTTTGCATCAAGTACTTGGGCGAAAGGAGGACTAGCTTGTTTTCCCAGTTCCGTGCCTGACATTGCGCTCTCATTTTAAAACCACTTTGTCCTTGAGAAAACTCCCGGATGCTGCTCCCTGGCAGAAGGGTTGAGGTGACTCATCGGCTCGTCAGCCGAGACCGAGACGGGTAATGCTACAGACTGCCTTGCCGCAGCAGCCTCAGGGAGAAACCAAAGGGAAAAGCCACCTTCTGGGTGGAGGGAGGGAGGGAGGACTTGGGCTTCCACGGTGCTGCTTCAGTTGCTCTTGATCCAGGGGCATGATGGTGTTCTGCAGAAGTGCAGTCCAAGGGACCACCCTTCTCTGTTGCAGTAGAACAAACCTCTTCCTCTGCCTGGACTCACCCAGGCACACAGCAGCAGCAGCAGCAGCAGCAGCTCTGCAGACAGGCATTCTTGCCCTGTCCCTGTCGGTCCCACACGTACTCCTTATATGTAGCATTCCACATGCAAGCTCTGTCTCGGATGCTGTGCTTTTCACATCTAGCCGTCTCTCCACTTCCAAGTTGGCCTTTCCCTACAGCGGCCTCACCTAAGCTGGTGACCTCCACGTATGCTCGGCTACAACTCCCAGCACCCCAAGCCAGCAATGATGAGATTTGTAGTCCAATATAGGTGGAGGGCACCAGCTTTGGGAAGACTACCTTACAGGTAGCTGTGTGGTCAAAAAGCTGCTCTAGGTTTCTTAGGGGAAGGGAAGAATGAAAAATTAACATGCCAAGTAGATGCACCCATGATGGAAATTGCTCCATATTTATATGAGAAGAGAAGAGTTCTTGCAGAAGTCAGCATTTTTGGGGCAACTGTGCCCACAAAGTTCTGAAGAACATTTAAGCTCTGAACTTGAAAGGTGGCCACACTGAGGAGGGCCAGGAACTCTTCTTGATCAATCCCAGAGTGTAAGACATGGAGTAACGGCCACAAGCTACAGGAAACCAGGTTCTGGCTGAACATCAGGAACAATTTCCTGACTGTTAGAACAGTACGATAATGGAACCAATGACCTAGGGAGGTAGTGGGCTCTCCTACACTGGAAGCATTCAAGACGCAGCTGGACAGCCAACTGAGAGAGATGGTTTGACTTGGAGTCCTGCACTGAGCAGTTGGTTGGACCCAATGGCCCTCTGCTCTCTTTCAACTGTACTATTCTATGATTCCCAATGGCAATATATAGAGGAAGAGGGATGGAGGGAAAAACCTGGCTTCTCCCAAGACACTTCCCACCCCACTGTTTGCAGGTTCCAGTAAAGCAGTTTGAGGAATGGAGCAGCTGCCATCCTTGGCCTAAGAATGAACGCACTCTGGGTTTGCCATGCGTGTTCAGTCTTCTTTCTGTATAAGCACGTCAGGCCAAAAATAATACATCAAGCCTGGAACAGCAGGCCTTGCCTTGAAGCAGGTGCATGGAAGGCCACCAATGAACAGGGCTGAGCAGTGCTTTGCAAGACACAGCCCCATGCATCTGGGCTCTTGGACCCAATGCACTTTTGAATGTACTTGCAAACTGCCATCACCAAACTGCTACACTGACCCCCCACCTCCTGCTGCTTGCCAAATACATCTATTTAGTCCTTTGTTATGGCAGGCAGGACACATGGCTTTGCAAGAACTGTAGACTGCAAACACCCTTAGCATGTGTGTCTGGATGTAGGCAGCATTTCTTGTGAGACATGATGTGCAACCTACAAGCAGGGCAGGGAGTCAGTACTTTTGCCCATATTGTAGCAGTGTCCCCAGTATGGCAGTTTTCTTCTCCCACAGGGCTGTAAGGCATTCAGCTCACTTATAGGAAAGAAAATAGGCAATGCAACTGGGGGTACCATTGAGATGGGAGTTTAACCAGTTCCCTGAAACTGGCAGTCCCATCTGCTGCGAACCAAGCCTGCTCTGATCTGCACATCCTTGCCCTGAGCTCTGTTTCTTGGCAATACTACAGAGTGAAGGAATACTGAGGATCCATGTATCTATACCAGCCTTCCCCAAACTGGACTGCCCTGGTTGTTTTGGCCTACAACTCGTAGCGCTGCTCACCAGGGACTATGCTGCCTTGGGCTGATGGGGACTAAGGTTCAAAACATCTGAGAACTCAAGGTTGGGGGACACGATACTTATCTATACTTATTCACCAATGTGAGCAACTTGTGGCCCTCCAGATGTTTTGGCTTACTACTCCTATCATTCCTAGCTAGTACACCCCATGGTTAGAGATGATGGGAGCTGTAGGGCAAAAAATTTGGAGGGTCACAAGTTGTCTGTCCCTGATACACACACGTTTTGCTCCTTAGATTCACACTCATTAATTTTTATATGATCTAGCTCCATCTAGTAGGATGGAGGATGTGAGGAAGACATTCAAGCAGATCAAAGGCTGAGCTGGGATTTGAACAACAGAACTTCTCCACAAGTCTGTAAGTAGAGGCCTCCTCCTGCTTCCCTGCTCCCACCAAATCTATTTATCCTGGCTGACTCCAGCTGATTCCATGTACGCTTCTTAAAGGACTTTGGGCTGCTTTCCTGCTGCTGGTGTGCTTGTATGAAGAACAGAAATGCATTTTAAAATGCATGCTTTTGCTGGTCCTTTAAAATCAGCTGATAGTCAAGAAGGCAGATTTTTAAATTGCATTTCAAGCTTTGCTTATGGCACCTGTGAGAAGTGCTTTATCTGAAACATATTTTTAGTTTACCACCTGCGTGTCAACATTTAAA